ATGGGGGGGGGTACTGTCAAGTTATAAATTATCTGTTTTGTTAACAAGTTTGAAATGGGCTTCCGTTCCTTGCAAACTCATGGGTATTCTGCTTTTGTCTTTAATGACAATCAAAATAATAGCTAACATTTATTGAGCACATACTTTGCAGCAGGCATGGAAGTGACTCACAGGTTTTAGCTCACTTTATATATGTTGTTTTTATAAACATTACATGGTATTGTTCTAATCATTAACTGCCATTACAATGCAGTTTATAAATAATTAGCATAAGCAAATGGCTCCCGCAATCCATTGCCTCAATTCCAACTGACTGAGTTTGTGTTGATTGAAAAATATCTAAGCCACTGATGTCACAAGAGTGCAAGAATCACAGCAGCTGCTCTTCAAGTGAAACAGCGTTCACAGTTTATAAAAACATTTCATAGTGCAAACGTTTTTATTTGTTTTAAGTCAATCCCTGACAATGTTCAGTTCAACACATTCTACAGGGGAATAAAAAATCCTCCAAGCTTCCGTCTCCTCCTAAAATAAAAGCAGAAAATCAATGCCCATTTACATTGGGTAGTCTTTATAAACCACCCGAGTGTGAATGACGCTGACACACACGCAGTGTTCAGATATTCTGAATGCCTGTGTGAGGCTAGGACAGTATTTCCTGAGGGTCCCCTAGGTGAGTGTGCAGTTGGCCCTACAGCAGAGCTGCCTCTGTGACGGGCAGGTCCCTGAGGGGCTGGGCACTGCCCCCTGTGGCCTGGGGGCCGTACATGTGAGTTACTGTGAGTCAGGTCAATGCCTGCCTTCTGGATCGTCAATCATCTACTGATTGTTTGCTGCTGCTTCTTTCCACACTGGGAAACTGACAAGAGGATGCGGGGTTCCCATCCCCACACGTTAGTCATGTTTCACCCTTGGAAGAGGTAGATGATGGCGAGCCCGCGGGGCAGCCAGGCAGCACACGGGCATCAGGGAATGACCACACCTGCCCCACCCCAGTGTCCTTGCCACAGTGCAACCTGCGCCGTGAAAGGTGGCGTCAACAGAGCGAAGTCACAGGTCTGTGCACTGGGGGCCCACGTCCCTGTGAGCCACTGCATTTAGGAGGGTCCAGTGGCTGTGGCTCTACCTTTCCGCCCTCTTCCCGTGAATATTTCCCCTCCCCCACATCAGTTCAAATCTAGCCTCACTACTCAGCAGCCAGGCTGTTTGCAACTTACCTTTCCTTTCTGTCCCTGGGGTGGCAGGGGAAGCCCTTTCTCGCAGGGCTGTTGTGACCTTTGCCGATTACTGTATCTATTACCAGGGAAGAGGGAAAGGGGCGCCGTTGTTTCATGGGAACAGAGTTTTAGTTTGGGAAGATGAAAAGTTCTGAACAGTGGTGATGGGAGCAAAACATTGTGGGGGCAACTGATATATATATCCATCCACCTCCCATCATAGCTTAGCACTCAGATGGCAGCTAATTCTAGAAATGGGGCAGCCCTCCTCACTACCCCTAGCCCCCCACCTTGGTCTCTGCCCTCAGGTCATGATGTTCTCTCCTGTCCATTCCCCCACTCTGTCCCAGCCACACCCTCCTATCAGTCAGTTGGTGGGGGAGAAGAGGGGGGATGCAGACAGAGTGCTCCCCTCGCCTAGTAGCGCAGGATCTCTCATTGGCTGCCATCACCATGGCAACTCACTGTCTCCTCCCCCACCCCCTCCCTTTCCAGAGCCCGCAGATTTGTGGAATTCCAGACTTCCAGGGCTGGGAGGGAAGAGGA